GTTAAGCATTTTGCCCAAGGCCACATAGCTTTTAAGTGGCCAAGGTATGAGGAGTTCATACCTTGTACCCAAAGCCCCAAATCTGCCAACACCCCATTGTCTCTCTTCCCAAGCCTCTCCACCCTATAAATTCATTTATTCAACAAATACTGACCAGGCCAGACCTCAATATGTGGGAAACAAGTCCAGCATGGTCCCCTGCCTTCAGGGAACATGCTGGGGTACCAGGGAGATGTATCATAAGTAAGTAATAACGTACCGCCAGTATGAGTGTTATTAGAGGTTCACTCAGGAATTTGGGGGTAGGTTTGTATTGTGTCTTCAGCTGTGATGAAGCTGAGGAAACTGCAGCTTCTTCCGTTGCTCCTCCCCAGACTGTGAGTTCCAGAGGCTGCCAGCAGGGGGAGCCCATAACCCAGGCCTGAGTCACCCTTAGCCGCTTATGTAACTTGGAAAACTGGGGGAAGGAGAGCAAACCCCAGGCATGAGGCTTGTCACACATACAGACAGACGCATGTACCTAAGATAACACAGAGAAATTCATGCAGAAAGACATTACACGCACATCCCCACAGAGCGATGCACAGACACACACAACACATGGACATGCTGTCAATGAGGGATATGTGGCATAGACATGAAAGCACTCCTGTATCCTCCCCATCTGGCCCATGAGTAAAAACTGCACAGGCTTACCCAGCACCTTGGCTGATGCCTGTGGTGGGATGAGCAGAGAAAGGAAGAAGGCAGCCTTCCCATAAGCCTCAGGCCAGCCTGAGACAAGAGGGAGGAAGGAAGCCTGGTATTGCAGAGTCATGGGTGAGGGATGCATAGAGACCACAGGGCCTGTAGTCACTGCCATCACCTGCTTTTCGCTCGCCCTCCACGTACAACCAGTTATGAGTATACATCAGACACCAGGCCTGTGTTTCACATGCTTATTTAATTATCCCTCAAGATGACATATGTACAAGGCACCAAGGTGGCACTGAGATGTCCTGAGTATCATTAAAGATAATTAAGACTGATGCTGTCCTAAAACAGTCTATCATCTGGCTGAGATGTCACAACCATGACACATAGTTCTCAGAGAGGCACATTCAAAGACAGGCCCATCAACGTATTCTGACCTGTGCCAGGTCCATAACATGATCTCATTTAATCCTCACCAGAACCTTGTGAGGTCAGTGCTACTATTATCTGTGGGAGGAAACTGAGGTGTACAGAAGCTTAGGATTGTGTGCAAGATTAATGGATTAGTTACTGACCAAACTCAAATTCGAACCTGGGATTATCTGAGTGTGGAGGAGTCTGTGCTTCTAACCCATGTTACATGGCTTCTTAAAAGCTGACATGGACCCAACAGACACAAATACACACCCAGCTATTGACACAGACAGCACCTTAAAGAGAGTGACAAACATCAAAGAAACAAGCACACATACCCACCAGACATTAGACATATAGAAATGCTACAAACACTCACATAGTACTTAACTCTCTCTCTCTTTTAAATGCATATAAATCCTAGCTTGGTGGATGCTAAAAATCACACACAAGAATGTTTATAAAGCCTTGACCCATACTGCCATAATGAGCCATGTTTTCCACCCACCCCAAAGAGAGCACTCTCTCTGTCTACTTGTTGAGAGGCAGAAGCAAAAAGACAAGACAGAGACAGAGCAAAAACCTGCCTTCACTCTGACAACCAACTCACATAGTGATACACTGAAGCAGCTTCACACTCGAAAACCCCGGCACACACCACGATAAAAACACAGACATCATGCGCTCCCAAACACGCCCGCAGAATAATGGAGCCTTCTCCCACACACACATATGCACGCTGGACCCTCTCTCTCCTTCCTCCCTAGCCAGGCACCCACATTATTATGGTGTCGTGTGTGTGTGTGTGTGTGTGTGTGTGTGCGTGCGTGTGTGTGTGTGTCTGTGTGTGTGTCTACTCCCTGAGCCTTCCTCTTGCTCCAGCTGAGCCCACACTCTTTTCCAAGTTCTCAAACTCTATGACCAGGGTGTGGAACCGCTGTTAAGGAATAGAAGAGCTACAATACCGTTGCTGGCCTTGGCACAATCTAGCCCTGACTCCTGAAAAGGCCCTGCCATTTCTTTGCCCAGGGTTAGTGCCAACTGCCACCCACTCCAGAAGGCCATGGATGGATTCCTCTGAGCTGGAATCCCCTCCACTGACAAGTCTCTTGCTCTCCAGTTCATAGGCTGGGCATCTGGGCTCCACCCCAGATGCACACCCCATCCCTCTCCTCCATTTCCAGTCAGTTAAGAGGGAACCAATGGCACAGACATATGTCTGGAGGGTGGCATGGGCTAAGGCAACTCCCACTATGTGATATCATGTCTTCTCCAATCAGGCAGCAGGGATGGGGGAGGGGTATCCATCAAGGACAGAAGATGGCAGAGGTTTGGCTAGACAGAGGTTTTGGGGCTAGGTGTTGTAGATGAGCCTCAGGGGACGGAAGAGGGTTAGCTCAGGTAACTGCCTCTGAGTCACTGAGGTCGAGCAAGAGATAGATTTGGAGAACAGATCATTTACAAGTTTGTCCATACCCAGCTCTGAGTGAAGTGAGGAGGGGGCACCAATACTCACTAATATTTACTGAACACCTGCTCTGTACTAGGCTGTGCTCTGAGCACTGCACGTATCTGCACACGGTCCTCACAACAACCCACAGGGGAGCATGATTGTTACCTGTTTTGCAGACTGGAAAAGGAGGCCCAGAGAGATGATCTCACTTACCCAAGGTCACCTGGCTAGCAGCTGGTAGCTCCAAGATTCCAATGCAAGATGTTTGACTCCTGAACTTAAGCTCCTAACATTCTTCTTCCTTGTGCTTCCCCAACCTGCACACACCTAATCATATACACACACGTGTGAGCACACACATATACACACGTACCTGGTGCCTATGCAACCTTTCGAAATAACTTTTTCCACAAGTGTATCTTCAGCTTCTAGCACATGATGGGAGTTCAATAAATATTTGTTGGATGAATGAATGCAGTGCTGGAGGCCCAGGAAAGGAGGAATCAGTGAGAGAGGTGTGTGTGTGGCAATACAAGGGCAGAAAGGGACATGGGGGGATTTCACACACGTGCTCACCT